CCTAATAATTACGCACAAAAGATGGCTCAAGCTACAACCTTTGTTGGCGCTAAACGCTTTTTAGTATTTGTGGCATTTAGATCATCCTTTAAATCTAATAATTGAATTCCGTCTTTTCTTCCTACTCTGCAGTCTCAATTGCTCTCGTTTCTCAACCACATCTGTTTTTAAATTAAACAACATAACATTTTACTGTTTCCTTTGTCTTAATGCATAAATATATTTCCTCTTTAAATGTTCTTCTTAGTTGTCTGGCCTATTATCATTCCGATCTCCTCATCTATCAGCCGAGCGAGGATCTTCGAGATGGGGGTAAATTCTTTCCAGGACCAACTAGCCAAGATACCTCTAACCTTCGCTTGACCACAGCTTTATCCTTTCCACCGCCCTCTCCGCCGACACAGCGTATGATGTCATCTTCATATATGTCACCTTTAATGTCTGCAGCATCTACGATGACACCACAAAGCTCCTCCGTTGCCACAACAATCAGTATCTCCATTCCAAGTCGGCCTTTGCCCGAGGGTCTAGTATTACCGACCGCTAGAGCGCCCTTGGAACCAATCACTACTTTTGGACAAAATCAACAATCGTAAGCTAGCCTATTTGCAACCTCTCGCATTCTTAACTCATAAGTTTGATCTATTGATGTCTTTTTCTTTCAGCCTTGAATCAGATAAAACTAGTATAAAAGGCTCATCTGAAGGCATTTTTGGTACTGAAGCCTCTTGTGCTGCATCTGTTTGTGCAACCGTTTCGCTATCTTCCTCCAGCTATATGGCTAGTTCTGTCAGCAATGGTACTACTCCATGCTATGCCTTTTCTACATCGCCCAAGACAGATGCATCTATTTATGCAGCTGACTCACTTGAAAGAATGAAGCTTGCAACTCTACGCGAGCCTGACGAAGAAGGTAATTTATTTAGATGTGCTTATCAAGTTTTTATTAATATTATGCATGTTCCTGCGTTTTCTTTTCCCTACATAATTTAATTATATAACCTGACGTTTTGATGCGTTACTAG